CAAATCTTTGAGGCTGTTTTGTGAAAATTAAATTGTTGGTTATATTTTGATATCAGCCTTAAATCATTTCCAAATGGTAGGGATATAAAAGTGTTGGTCAAATGTAGATAGTTTAATAAGTAAGATTTTAAATTATAACCACTCAACTAAAACCCCCCTCAATATTTTCTGTCTTTATATTGTTTTTCCATTTCCCTCCACCAGGAATCAATCAACAGGTCCTTGTTGAACTTGCTCACTTACCCATGGATAGAAGAAAGGGTGAAAAACGGGACACTTAAAATCCACGGTGGCTACTATGACTTCATAGATTGCACGTTCGAGAAGTGGACCCTCGACTACAAGAGCAACAACGTATGCTCGATTAAAAGCAGAGAATTCTGGTCGTGAGTTTTTGCTTCATACATAACGTGCCCCTTTCGAAACAATTCTTTTGGATAAAATATCGAGTTCTTGGTGTGTGGCTAATTGTTTTCGATTTGGTCCATTCATTTTGTGGGAATAGAGCATGACCTTTTGTTTTGTGAGTTTTTTCATATGTTTAAAAGATAATAATGCATTGATTATGTAACATTAAGAATTAATGCAGAAGTTCCACCACTCTATGCCCTTTACTTAATTTTGGTTAATGTTAGGTTGTTGCTATCTTATGTACTATAAAACCCCACAAACACTACATACTGTTAATGTTAAATTAAAAAAAAAAAAAAAATTAGTATACAGATTACTAGTTTTTTTTTGTGTGTGGCCTAAACCTTTTTGCATAAAAAAAATTATTGATCTATCAATTGTCATAGACAAATTTTAACCAAAATATATGCAGGGAAAACTTTTTAGATACAATTCTGGTGGTTGTAGTTTGCATAATATTGGGGACCAATTTCTGGTGTGGTTTGTGCTGTAGTGCGCTGTATTTTCACTAGCCATGATCCTCGTGTAGTTGTCTGTGACGGGGCGCTTTGTAGTGATTAGAAAATCGCGCACCGTTTCGTTAATTGTCAGAGAATTACAGTGTAATTAGAGGCCTCAACCGAAACATGCAAAATAATTTACCTTGGCCGGTTCATTAGTTAGGATTATGCTTTGAAATTACTTTTTTAATTATCAGACAAGAGTTGTTGTGCAGTAAATTACCCATGGATGGTGAATTAATTTCACCACCCAATTTGCCTTAATGCTGAATAATGTTGGTGTACTCTATATGGGTTGTTGAGTCATAAATTTTCACACTTTTATGACAACTAACTTGTGTCTAGTGTTGCTGCAGGTTCTCTAACTGCCATGCACTGCACTTTCTGCATTTTCTTACATCTTATTTTGACAACTAATAGAATCTTTGTGGCATGTGAGAATTGGAAAGTCATATTAAGACTTTTTCAATTCTCTTCCATGTGCAAATTAAGAATTTTGAATAGAGATGAGAACCAAACAATGGGGGTAAAGGAATGTTCTGATTGTGGTTACAGTTTCTATCTATTATTTTAGTATTTTTTAAATTCAAAAACCTATAGTTCTTTCATTGCTTTCATTGTTTATATATATATAAAAACTATAAAACAATAGAATGTAGAAAATTAATATGGATGATTAGGGTTATTGATTTTAAGATGTATTGCTTTTAAATAAAATAATATGATTTGTATATATTTTTGTAGGAGATCAGGGATAAAATATATGGATTTGAGCTTAGTTGAAATTCTATAAGTTGAAAAAAAAAAGTTTAACTTGTAATTTTTGAATATTACAATTTGGGGAATTGAAAATGACATATCAAGGCCCTAGTTACATATGTTATTCAGTTCTTCATTTTATTATGTTCGTCCAAGAGGAAATTAATATTTCAAAAAAATATTACAAAGTGCATTCTTCTTGCAACAACTTGGAAGTTGGAACTTGAATTATTGATTTCCTCTTGAAAAAGCTAAAAAATCTACCTATCTTCTCTTGAGTGGACCTCAAAAACTGTTAAAACCATGCCATATTATGGTTATGGTCTATACATGCATGTCTTTGCTAGAGCATGACTCATATATTTAAGATCTCCAACTCCTACACAAAAAGTTAGAAAACACAAATTCACGAGAACTAAGTGCCCTTGTCTGGGGGACCCCTCTCTCAATGCACACTATAAATAAAAACACCATCTCAAGTCTCAACACCATATTTTCACCACAAACAATTCAT